CTCCCTCTGTTGATATATAAAGTAAATTCCATTCTCTCTCTATCCATCATATTAGTAGAGACATAGAGGATTTAATACTTATTCTTATTTGATCAATATATGTTAGTGTGTATATTGTAAATCATTCATATATTCATCAAAAATAAATTTTTAAAAAACGGATGAAATTTTATCAAATTTTAGCGAAAAAAGCTTGAAAATTTAAAGATATAATTTTCTGTTTTATCATTGAAAGTATTTTCATGTAATTCTGTAAAAGATGAATGTTGGGAGTAAGCCTCGACCTCGAATACACCGCGGCTCAGCTGTCACGGTTTACTGAGGCTACATCCTCTCATAGCAAGGAGCTTGCTCTCCGTCCTCCTGCTGTCCTCTATTTCCTCTAGTCAACCTCTCCAGGCCGACCTCAGTACACCTGGCCAAGGATTGTACCGATCCGGCCTCCATAGAGGCCACCCTGGGTATAGAATGGACTGGCACGGATTAAAGTCTGTAGCTTGGACTTCGGCAGTAAGTTAAACTGTGTACCGGCCGGCCTCTCCAATACCAAGGCTTCTCCCGTACCGACCTGTCCTCCAGCTCTGACTTCTAAGCCTAAAATCCTCCGGCCGGCCCGTCCTTCCAAAAGCTTCAATGACCTCTCCCGACTGGCTCGGTCTTATTTAAAATCCAGCGTAGAACACTCTCTCCGCCTTGTCCTGCTCCGCCTCAGTGACCCTGTCCGCCAATTCCCTTCTTGGTTCTTGACACTGGCCCTGTCCACCCTGCCCTTCCCTGCCCTGCAGCCTGCTCCACCTCAATAACCCTGTCCGTCTTTTCATACTCTCGTCAAATATTTCAAATAATTAATTTTTTTAATTGCACATTTTCAGTTTGTAATCATTTTAATGATATTGATGACAGTTCATTCATCAGAATATACGAGATTGTATAGTTCATTCATTAGAATAGAAGAGATTGTATAGTTCATTTTTTAGAATAGAAGAGATTGTACGTTCATTTATCAGAATAACAGAGATTGAACAGTTCATTCATCAGAATATACGAGATTGTATAGTTCACTCACCATAATGTAAGAGATTGTACAGTTCATTCATAAGAATGTAAGAGATTGTATAGTTCATTCATAAGAATATAAGAGATTGTACAGTTCATTCATTAAAATAGAAGAGATTGTTTAATTCATTCATCATAATATAAGAGATTCTGTAGTTTATTCATCAGAATATGAGAGATTGTATAGTCATTCATCAGAATATGAGAGATTGTATAGTTCATTCATTAAGAATATGAGAGATTGTAAAGTTTATTCATCAGAATATAAGAGATTGTATGGTTTATTAATTAGAATATAAGAGATTGTTTAGTTCATTCATCAGAATATAAGAGATTGTATGGTTTATTCATCGGAATATACGAGATTGTTTAGTTCATTCATAATGATGTAAGAGATTTTATGGTGCATTCATCAGAATATAAGAGATTGTATAGTTCATTCATTGGAATGTAAGAGATTGTATGGTTCATTCATCAGAATATGAGAGATTGTTTTGTTCATTGATCTTTTTTTATTTTTTTTTATGAAAATATGATTATTCGGTTATTAATTTTCTTAATTACACATTTTTAGTTTGTAGTCATTTTAATGATATTGTTCCAAACTATTTTTACTGAAGCTGTAATGATTCACAAAAATAGAGCAGCTTACCATGAACAGGAGCAGCAACAGCACCAGCAGAAGCAGCATGGCCCATTAGCAGCAGCTTGGGAGGCAGCAGAGCTTATCATTTGAACCATTCCAAGCATATCAAGGTTTACCTAGGAATACAGGGTTAATAAGGTATACCTAAGGATACAGGGATATTGGGGTATACCTAGGGATACAGGGATATTAGGGTATACCTAGGGATACAGGGATATTAGGGTATACTTAGGGATACAGGGATATTAGGGTATACCTAGGGATACAGGGATATTAGGGTATACCTACTACCTAGGGATACAGGGATATTAGGGTATACCTACTACCTAGGGCCGATACAGGGATATTAGGGTATACCTAGTGATACAGGGATATTAGGGTATATTTAGGGATACAGTGATATCAGTGTATACCTAGGGATACAGGGATATTAGGGTATACCTAGGGATACAGGGATATTAGGGTATACTTAGGGATACAGGGATATCAGAGTATACCTAGGGATACAGGGATATTAGGGTATACCTAGGGATACAGAGATATTAGGGTATACCTAGGGATACAGGGATATTAGGGTTACTTAGGGATACAGGGATATCAGTGTATACTTTAATTGGCTGTTAGAAATTTAAATCAACCTTAAACGTTAACATGGATTTAGGAACAATTTAAAAAATCGTAATTTTCGTTTAAATATCAATTTTCAAGAATATTTGCAAAATTAAATTTTCGTATATTTTCAAGGACCATGCGATGAGTTTCACAATTTAAGCCACGTTGTTACAAACAATGTTAAAAATCAATAATGATAAAAAGATTAAATAATTTACGAAAAATGGGCTTATGAAGTCGTTAAAGTTGGTCCCGGAGAACGAAATTCGGGACCAACTTTAATGAATTTGAGCTAGGACACACTGGACTACCACTACTGCCGGCTCAAATAATACAGAAGATTTGAAACGTTGATTCAAGATTTGAACCGGAGTTCAGCGACTTCTCCTATTTAAGTTCGTTCCCGGATCTATTTTTGTTTCCTTTTGATGCTTCTTTAAAGAATTCTTTAAAAATTAATGAAAAATCTGCTTTTAATAATTTTTTTAATAAATATATTTCACGGCTTCCGCAGACTCTAATTGGTTGACTTTAAGAAGATCTTAAGTATCTTAAGAATAAAATAAATAATCTTAAGAATAAAAAAGAGGAGATCAAGCATTGATCTCGATATCCACAATCCAGCTCTGTTCTCTTTTAAATTGTTGAAGGGTAACAAAGGCCTAGTTTCCAAAAATCATGTATTTTCCAATAAAGGAACAATCTCTTAATAATTGGTTGTATTTAGATGATATAAAGGGACTGTATGCTGAACTTTAAGTGACCCTCCAGGCGAAGATGGCAATGCACTAATTTACAACGGTACCCTTGAAAGCTCTGTCTGATCAAGTAGGAATAAAATATACATGTTTTTGTTCATTTAAACCGTTTATTTATATTTGTGGTTTCTCTTCGAAAGTGACTTGCTCATGTTTTGCTTAAAAAGCAATGGGGAAACTCATAGAAATAAACACCTTTTGTTACCCTTAAAAGCGCTGTTTGATCAAGTATAAGTTAGATATATCAATGTTGTTATTTCTTAAAACTGTTTTTTTTTCATTTGCAGATTACTGCGAAAGTGACTTGCGCATTAAAGAGCAATTGAGAAACTTACAAAAATATAAACTTTTCGAGTTAGAAAAACGACGGTATCTTCCACATTTTTAATCAGATTAAGGTTTAAAGGGTACCGTTGTAAATCGGGCCTTTGTCATCTTTACATGAAGGATCACATGAAATTGCGCATGCAGTCCCTTTAAGAAAACTTAAAGGGACTGATCAGACGTAATATCATGTGAACTTCTTAGAATATAGTCTTACAGTCCCTTTAAACATTTAAAGTACGTTTTTGTTGCTGGATTCTTTGAAAAAAGTTTAGTTGCCCCCCCCCCCTTCATATTGACATATAAATTTTTTTGCAAAAGATGATAGTTGTTTAAACTAATGCAAAATAAAATGCAATTCCTTTGTTAAAATTATGTTTAAAATTACATACCTAGTCAATACTTCAGAACAGTCAGAGACAGTTTTCTTTATAAAAGTTCACTTTTGTCCACTTTTTAACTTTAAATATTTTCTTTTTAGCTCTCATGAAAATGTTACTCACTTTGTCCTATCTCATTCCCTCAAGCATGTCTGAATCAGATGCTAAAATTATTCATGCTGAGGGTTTGATCAATTTTGAATTTGATAATAATATTACATTTTCGCGTTCAGAATTTATTTGAAGAAAGTACAAAGATCAAATTAATTATCGAATATTCTACAGAATTGTTGAAATGTTTAAATGTTAAATTTTCTAAAACTACGGTATTACCTTGTAAGGTCTGAAACAAATTTAATCCAAATTTGCGTAATTTTTTTTTTGCAGAAACGTTGGTTTTCTTTTCTTGCCTTTTCAAAAAATCATAAATTTTAAACAATTTTTAAGTAAGAATATTTTTGACAAAATATGATAAAAATTCTACGAATAATTGTATAGTAAACCTTGTGTAATTGTTAACTGCTGTACTGCTGAACTGCATTTGATTTTCAGAGTACAGTCTGCTGTACACAGGGATCAATGTACGGCAAGTTTTCTCATGTACGACTGAGTCTTTAATCTATATTATAATGTAAAGCTTCTAAAATGAACAATGGACGGGTTAACAGCGATATAAAATATAAAATAAATAAATAAAATAAATAAAAAACAATCAACTGCAGTATGCCATGTTATTCAGACTTCAGAGAAATGTGAAAATTTGACAATGTCTGTTTGGGAAGGTTTACATCAAGGTTATAATGCAAGGAAAGTTGTTTCATAGGTGAACGCATCTTTTGTACTGCAGTGTACTGTCTCTGGGCGGTAATGTAAACACAAGACGGATGTCGAAGCCTTTTGGGATCCATCTTTCACATAAAAAATCAATGAAATATTCTGGTCATAGGAAACTATTATGTGAATTATTAAAGTTATCAAAATTTAATGCTTTTATCCTCCTCGGATACTAAACAAACACTGATGTATCTATTATTGTTTACAAATTCCCCCCTAGAGAGAACTGGTTTCAATATGTACGCAGAGTATACGCAACATCAATAAACTTTCCTTGCATTATAACCTTGGTTTACATCATTCGCTTGAGAATTCGGAAGTTGAAAAAAATTAAACAAATGCGAGATAGGGATAGATTATTTTCTGTTTAAAAAGGTAAGAAATAATAAATTGAAATTTTTTTTATTTTTCCAGAAGTTAAATAACCTTAGTCCAACTAAAAAATTGGGAGATATCACCTTGGAAAAATACCAATTTGAAAAGCTGGATCGCTTGGGAAATTGAGAAAAATCCATTTGAAAAGTTGAAAATTATACCTTTGGGAAATTGGAAAAGACTTAGATGTTTCACTTGGGATGTTGGAAAGTTTGGAAATAACCCAATAGACATGTTGGGAAATATACCACTTTAAATTAGAACTTCACTTTTTCTATTTTCAAAAGAACCTCATTTATATTTACTTAAAAATTACGACGCAGAATTACTTCCGTCATTTAAAAGCTTTCCTTTTGGTTAATTCATAACTTTTTTGTTTTCTACCAAATATGCGTAAAACATTATATTTAATTTTTATTGTAATATTTAGAGAGAGAGGATCAAAAAGCTTTTTAATCCACAAAATCTTCCCCTAGTGCTTTTTTATGACTTTCCTAGTAGGAAGAGGATAGGAAACCGGAATAGGAAACAACAAAGGATTGCAATAATAGGAAAAAATCAGAAATTGAAGAAAAAATAGGCACAAGAATTATAATAAGAACTAGAATATAAACAAGAATAGGAACTAGAATAGGAACTAGAATAGGAACTAGAATAGGAACTAGAATAGGAACTAGAATAGGAACTAGAATAGGAACAAGAATATAACCAAGAATATAACCACGAAAAGGAACCAGAACAAAAACAAGAATAAGAAATAGGTAAAAGAAAAGAGATCTAAGACGAATGCTCAAGAAATGATTAATAAATAACTACACATGTATTATTCATGGAATGAATAAATGAAAAATACCAAAAAAATGAATAATATATAAATATATAAATACATATATAAATATAATGAATATACGTACTTAACATGAAAATCTTATTCTTTACATGCAATATCAAGAAAACAATTTTCCCTCGTTAATGGAATGTTTTTCTCGAAAATATAATATAAATATGGAATAATTGGAGACCTTCTCTAGACCGGAGAAGGTTGGGATTAGGAGAAGGTTGGGATGAAGAGAAGTTTCGGATGAAGAGAAGGTTGGGTTGAAGAAAAGGTAGGGATGAAAAGAAGGTTGGGATGAAGAAAAGGTTTGGATGAAGAGAAGGTTGGGTTGAAGAGAAGGCTGGGATGAAGAGAAGGTTGGGATGAAGAGAAGGTTGGAATTAGGGATGAAGAGAAGGTTGGGATGAAGAGAATGTGGGGATGAAGAGAATGTTGGGAGGAAGAGAAGTTTGGGTTGAAGAGAAGGTTGGGTTAAAGAGAAGGTTGGAATGAAGAGAAGGTTGGGATGAAGAGAATGTGGGGATGAAGAGAAGGTTGGTATGAAGAGAAGGTTGGGTTGAAGAGAAGGTTGGGATGAAGAGATGGTTGGGATGAAGAGAAGGTTGGGATGAGGAGAAGGTTGTGATGAAGATATGGTTGGGAGGAAGAGAAGGTTGGGATGAAGAGAAGGTTGGGATGAAAAGAAGGTTGGGATGAAGAAAAGGTTTGGATGAAGAGAAGGTTTATATGAAGAGAAGGTTGGGTTGAAGAGAAGGCTGGTATGAAGAGAAGGTTGGGATGAAGAGAAGGTTGGGATTAGGGATGAAGAGATGGTTGGGATGAAGAGAATGTGGGGATGAGGAGAATGTTGGGAGGAAGAGAAGGTTGGGATGAAGAGAAGGTTTGGATGAAGAGAAGGTTGGGATGAAGAAAAGGTTTGGATGAAGAGAAGGTTTGGATGAAGAGAAGGTTGGGTTGAAGAGACGGTTGGGTTGAAGAGAAGGTTGGGTTGAAGAGAAGGTTGAGTTGAAGAGAAGGTTAGAATGAAGAGAAGGTTGGAATGAAGAGAATGTGGGGATGAAGAAAAGGTTGGGATGAAGAGAAGGTTGGGTTGAAGAGAAGGTTGGGATGAAGAGAAGGTTGGGATGAAGAGAAGGTTGGGATGAATAGAAGGTTGTGATGAAGATAAGGTTGGGAGGAAGAGAAGGTTGGGATGAAGAGAAGGTTGGGATGAAGAGAAGGTTGGGATGAGGAGAAGGTTGGGATGAAGAGAAGGTTGGGATGAGGAGGAGGTTGGGATGAAGAGAAGGTTGGGATGAGGAGAAGGTTGGGATTAGGAGAAGTTTGGGATGAAGAGAAGGTGGGGATGAAGAGAAGTTAGAGATGGAGAGAAGGTTGGGATGAAGAGAAGGCTGGGATGAGGAGAAGGATTGGATCAGGAGAAGGTTGGCATGAGGAGAAGGATTGGATCAGGAGAAGGTTGGGATGAGGAGATGGATTGGATCAGGAGAAGGTTGGCATGAGGAGAAGGATTGGATTAGGAGAAGGTTGGCATGAGGAGAAGGATTGGATCATGAGAAGGTTGGGATGAGGAGATGGATTGGTTCAGGAGAAGGTTGGCATGAGGAGAAGGATTGGATCAGGAGAAGGTTGGGATGAGGAGAAGAATTGGATCAGGAGAGGGTTGGTATGAGGAGAAGGATGAGATGAATAGAAGGTTTGGACGAACAGACAGGATGTAAGAGGAGATAGATAAAGATGAAGCGAAGGTTGGAATAAGGAGATGGATGGGATGAAGAGAAGGTTGAGATGAAGAGAAGGTTAGGATGAGGAAAAGGTTTGGATCAGGAGAAGATAGGCATGAAGGGCTCAGTAACATTTCGTCTAGTACACTTTCGTCTAAGTTCACTTTTGTCTAGTTCATTTTCGTCTAGTTCTTTTTTGTCTAGTAACATTTGGTCTAAGTAACATTTGGTCTAAGTAACATTTGGTCTAAGTATACAAAATGTTACTGAGCCGCATGAAGAGAAGGATGGGATGAATAGATGGTTTTGACGAGAACAGAAAGGATGGATGAGGAGAAAGATTAATATGAAGCGAAGGTTGAGATGAAGAGAAGGTTGTAATGAAGAGAAGGTTGGAATCAGGAGAAAAGGTTGGGTTGGGCGTGGGGGGGAGGAGGATAGCTAACTTTTCGTTATAAAATCATGAATTACTGTTTACATTCCTAATGTACGCTCGTAAGCTGAAGTTTGTATTGGATCAAAGATGTCAGGTGTCACAAACAGCTTCTTATCCTATCCCGAATGTCTTTAACAGCTGTCATACTTTATCTAGCTGTCAAACTTTAACCTGCAGCTGTTGATCAAAGATGTTACTTTATAGCTAGTTGTCAATTACAGCTGCCACACTTTAAACGGCTGAGGATGACAGCTGTTCCACTTTAACAGACTGTCAATCACAGCAGTTCTACTTGAACCGGTTGTCAATCACACCTGTTCCACTTGGACCAGCAGTCAATTACAGCTGTTCCACTTTAACCGCTTGTCACATACAGCTGTTCCACTTCAACCGCTTGTCATATACAGCTGTTTCACTTTAACAAACTGTCAATCACAGCTGTTCCACTTGGACCGGTTATTATATTAATCACAGCTGGTTCACAATAACCAATTGTCATATACAGCTGTTCCACTTCAACAGGTTATTATATACAGCTGTTCCAGTTTAACCAGCTGTCAATCAAAGCTGGTTCACAACAACCGGCTGTTGTGTCCAGCTGTTCCACTTTAACCGGTTGTCATGTCCAGGTTTTCCGCTTGGACCAGCGGTCAATCACAGCTGTTTCGTTACAACCGGTTATCAATCTAAAGAAGGTATCCAACTGTATCCATAAATCCATGTATCCATGTATTCGTGTATCCATCTATCCATGTAAAGCCTGTGTATCCAGTATCAGCTGCGAGCTTGTAATCTGATCAGGATTCAGGAGCTCCGAAACTCTCTTCTCTACAGATATTTGAGAGTAGTGAGATCAGAGAATAAATGAATTTCTCCGGGTATCCTCAGCTCACCCCTCCCCCCATGTATGTTGCTCTCTCCTCCACCTCCCCTCCCCTCCCCCTCCCTCCTCCCTACTCCCTCTCGGCCCACATGTGGGTCAACGTACAGGAGTGAGCCACAGGCTGTCGTCTTTGATTTGCTGCATTTTTATTTGAAAACATGATTTTAGAAGTAAAACTCTAGAGATAGTAAATACAAAACATCCCAAAATGTTGTCTGCTTCAATATTACTCCAGATATGAAGAATTTCGTTCAGATTTCGACAATTTTGGTTTTGTTTCACAAGATTCTTAATATTTCCAGTAATATCGACAGCAAACAAAGAACAGACCACATTTTGGAATGCCAAGACCAGGAAAAATTTGAGGTTATTGTTTCATTAATAATACATGTTAAAGTAGGTTGAAGACTGAATGTCACAAATAAATTCCAAGATCAAGGACGACTTTAAAGTCTTCTTGCTACTGTCATGTTTCGTGGGACACCCTGTATTATATATTTATCCCAATATATACTACAGACCTGTGTTCTACATCCAGACACCTCTTTGCGACAGTTTTTGTTTTGCTCCATTACAACACAATTTTAGACATAAAAAAACAATGTATATGACACTTTCCAAAATTTTCAAAGAACACATTTTAAAACAATATCCAACATATATCAGAATTTTTTCGTCCAAAAATTCCTCTAACAGATTTCTTTGTCAAAACTTATTATTTAAAGAATTTTTAAAGGGAGTAATTAAATTCAATATTTTATAATTTTTTGTAATTCTATTTTCAGTAATTTTATTTTGTAATATCTGTGATTTCAAAAACACGTTCAAAGAACAAACTTTTTAAACAAAAAAACTTCCAACTGAATTTTTTCATAAAAAATTTGATTGGTTTCTAAATTGAATTTTTTTTAAAATTGAAAAATTTTAATTGTCAATATTCAGTAATTGCATTTTTAAAATCTTTAATTTCAGGAAAAGAATCTCAAGGAAAATGATTCTTTTAAAAAAGTCTATAAATATTTATAAGACTGAAGAACGTTAATTTATACTGCTAATTAAAGCTCACTGACTATAGGATTACCATTCTAGGTAATTATAATACAGAGCACAACAAACGCGTTTTTTTAAACAGCCTTCCAATACAATCTACTAAATGAAGATTGTTCTGAAATGCTAGAGGGGTAATCTCCCAAACAATCCAGAGATGATTTCAAGGATGTACATACGTCCCAATAAACATGACAGTTGGTGAATAGTTTTAAATGTTTTCTTCCATAATTTGTTAAGTTGTTAAGTTGACACCAAAGACAATAAGAAAAATATTATAAAGGAGTCATATTATAGTGAAATTTATTTAAAAGTAAAATACATTAGAGCAAAATATTTTTTAACGAAATAAGCTGCAAAAAGCCTTTACCAATACAACATTCACAACTATTTACCAACTGTCATGTTTTGTGGTACACCCTGTAGCTAGGAAGGCTGAAGTGACTAATTACCCCAGTAGAAATTCTGCGTCGGAGCAATAAAACCATAAAAAACAATGTATTGACACTGTCCGATATTCATTTATGTATTTTAATCGGACAAACACATATAAAATGATCTCAAATAAATATTTATTTTTTGATAATTTGAAAGGAAGACGACATTTGAAAGGAAAAAACTTGTCAATAAAATTGTTGAATGATCTCTGTGAAAATCCCTTATTACATTTTGTTTATTTGATTTCACCAAAAAAACTAATTCTTGAAGCTTTTCCGACAATTTCTCAAAAATCCGAATACCAGGAATAAAAATAATTTGATAAATTTTCTTTTACTTAATTTCTCATTTTTTAATCTCATGATATATGTATTCACAATTTTTTTCATAGTTCTATATCTTAACATTTTTTAATTTCTAAAATAATAGTTTCTAATTAAATATTATTCATATTTATTTAACATTTAAGGTTTGAGGCCCGTTTCAAACATTCAAGGTTTTGAGGCCCACTTTAAACATTTAAGGTTTTGAGGCCTGTTTTAAACATTCAAGGTTTTGAGGCATGTTTTAAAAATTCAAGGTTTTGAGGCCTGTTTTAAACATTCAAGGTTTTGAGGCCTGTTTTAAAAATTCAAGGTTTTGAGGCCTGTTTTAAACATTAGAGTTTATTTTTTAATTTTATAAGGTCTATAAGAATCTCATATGTTTAACCCATTTTAAAATCGTTTGTTGGTAAAAGGAGTTATGAGTCTTTGCAACAAACTCTGATTCTCTAATCCCTATATTTTTGCAACCCATGGTGTCGTAGACCTTAGATATTTCAAACTGTAAATTTTGTTTGATCAAAATAACATAAGTTTGAAATATCAAAGGTATACACGCTCAGGTTGCACAGATATAGGGAAGAAAAAATATTCTTTTGTGGCAAAGACTTAATTTCTAAATCATAACGATTTAACAAAGCGATTTGTAAAATCGTCTTGTCATAGAAAAAAATTGCCTAATGCAATGACAGCAAACTTATAGAAAATCGAATTTTGCAACGAGCTGAATATAATAGATTATTTTAAAGCACCAATAAAACCAAAAAAAACTTCAAAGCAATGACATTTGTAATCAAAATTAAATAATAGTAATGTAATGTAAACGTTGATTTTTGCCTGAATAATATGATTATTTAACCTAAATCACAAAGTTGCATGATACCTAAGCCCAGTGGAAGAATAATGAAAAATGTTGATCAATTGACACTTTCCAAGAAGTAGAGAGGAAAGGGATATAAAGTAATGTAAACGGATTTAAAGGGATTTATTGGTATTCAAAAGGACTGTAAACGTAATTTCAAGTAACATGGGTTACCCTTTGAGTATCTATTCATGAGTAACCATAAGGAATATTCCGTTGTGTTAAATCTTGTGGGCCGCAAAAATCTGTAGATTACTTTTACGGAGAAACCACCATTTTTCAAACTTCTCTTTAATTACTTGTAAATTGTAATTTAAAAAATCCACTTATAGCAATAAAAACTTAAAGGGAGTGACCGGCAATTTAAAGTGGAAGAACTGAGTATGCAGTGTTGTAGACATTTAGGATTCATTTGAGACATATATAACGTTACCACGATGTATAACTAATGAGTTTGAGTACAAAGTCGACGTTCAAAATCATTAATTTGGGTGGGTACGTTTTCAGAATCGTTTTTTAATTATAATATAACGACGACAAAAAATAAAGTAAAAATTATATAGAAAACTAATTACATGTTAATCTGAACATATTTAACAAAAGAAATTAATCAAGAAATCAATGTTAGAATCAATTGTTTCTTTTTCATCATTATTTTCTATGAATTTGTTCACATAT